CCAACAGCCACAGGCTCCAATCCAGTATTTGTTCAATGAGTAACTAACCGCCAACTGCCTGCCACCTGGACACTATTTTATTTTTATTTTTATTTTTGCCTTTTTACCAGAATAGCATTTAAGAATTTCTGACATTCAAATACAATATTCTTTTTTAAGGTGATCATCTGTCAAATGTGTAACAAACTCAAACTCAAAACTCTGCAACTCTAACCTGCTTCCTCAGACAGGAGCGAAAGACAAATACCTCTAAATTCCTCACAGGATCCTGGTAAAATGAAATAAGTAGTTCGCGGAAGAGGTGCTGTGTTGGAAACATGGCAAGAGGCTAGGACGCTGTTGCTTTTGTTTTTGTTTTTCAATTTCGCATTTTAAAATATTTTATTCTATCAACTATCTCCTTCCAACTTTAGCACATGTACACTACTCATAGAGAAGAAATGGTAGAGTATATCTTAAATACATATGGATTGCATTGAAAACAAATCTAAGACTGGTTCTGGCATCTTCAGCTTTGACCTTGGCAAGACAAAATGTTGGCGTCAGTGTCTTCGTGTGTGAAGTGGGGATAGGAACAAACTCTCAGAGGTCTGAATGGGATATATTTTGGAAGCACCGTACATATAAAATGGTATGTAAATGTGTCATTAATAATGATGGCTCTAGAAACACACTTCTCGTTTCTCTGGCAGCCTACCTGATTTTCTGTCAAAAGTTTGACATATTGATTTGCTCCTACAATGAATCATTTCCTTGCAAAAAAATGTTTTCAATGCCAAATGAAAATTTCCATTAAGGGGCTTTTCAGACCCCCCTTGTTCACAGCGGTTACAAATATGACTCACTGAATTAGAATCTGTTTGGAAGAGAGGAGATTGTAAAGTGAAAACTCCCTCAAGCTAACACTTCTTACGTTAGAGACAGAGGAGTGATCTGCCCGGGTGGTTCTTCTTACCGTATTTATTATCTTTATTAAAGTCGTTGACCTCTTGCCTGAACCAGAGACCGGAGCCCCCCATGATCTCTGTCATCTCGACTTCTAAACTCATCACCAAACTTTCAGCTCTGCTGTTCTCTATCCCAGTTGCTCCAGCCCAGAGCCCGTTTTCCACCTGAAACTACTGCTCACGCTGTCTTTCTCGGCATCAACGTCATCCCCTCTCTCCATTACAAGACCATCTGCTTTCCAGCTTTCAAAACATCATGGCTATTGTCTCCTCCACTGTTTTATGTGTCCTTGAGTTAGGACCAATTCCTTTATTGATGGTTTAGTTGGATGGTATGTGTTCCCTTGTTTTTTGTTGTTCTTTAGTTTTTTTGGGGTGTTTTGTTTTTTTGAGAGAGAGAGGAGGAGGAGGGAGGCAGGCACGCAGGCAGAAGGAGAGAATCTTAAGCAGGCTCCAACCCAGGGCTCAATCTCACCACTCTGAGATCATGACCTGAGCTGAAATCAGAGTCAGACACTTAACTGACTTGAGCTGCCCAGGTGCCCCAAGGTAATGTATGTTCCACAACACAGAATACTATGTTTAACTCTCAAATTTTTGCTGTACAGCATTTACATTTTCTATATCACTCCTGACATGGTGTTATAATTGTTTTTTTCTCATTTTACATTTCTCAGGTGCTTGTCCCTGAAGACAGAGACCAAGTCTTCCTCATCTCAGTCCCAAGAACAAGACTATGTCTGGCATACAGTGAATGCCTATGAAATATTTAAGTGAATGGTCAGAGTGTTCTATATTCACATTAATGCCATTCTTGAGTCCACACATATAGCATGGCCCCCATCTCTTCATCCAGGAAGTACACTTTAGGCCTCCAGCCATTTCCTCCAGTCCATTTGCTTTTGCCACTAGATAGTTAAGATAGAGGACAGAAGGAACAACGGCCAAAACCCTGGAGAGGATCCCAGTTTCCAGCTGGGATTGGGCATCAGCCAGGCAGGGTGGCCTAATTTCAGAGTGGGTATTATGACACAAGAAGGCAGGACGACAAAAGACAAAAAAGAACACACTCTCGGCCTCCCAGTCCCTACCCCAGCTCCATTACTCTGACAGTGCGATCTGAGGCAAGTTATCAATCCTTCTTCCTCAGGCTTTCCCATGTGAAAAGTGGAGACAATAACAATCTGCCCATGTAGATGTGTTGGTAAAAAGAGAACAGTACCTGACACAGAAGTGCTTTATAAATTTTAGTTTACAACTTCTACCACCCTTTAAGCTGCAAATCAATATACTTTTTTAAGCAGCATAAGGAGGTTTCAAAGTCCAGAATGATGCACTTCTTTGCAGCAGTGATGCCAGGGCTGAGCCGAGGTGGAAATGTGCCTTAGCTCGATCCATCTGATTAATGTATTCAGGATTTCAAATGACCCACTCAGACCCTTTTCATCTGCAAGGGTGGCAGAGAAGCAGGACTGTGTACTGCTTACATTAAACTTCAGCACAATCTTGGCAGAAGTCAGCAAAATGATTGAATACAACTACAAATCACTAAACTCTTGGGTTCTAAGATCTGTGAAATGGGGAAAAAGGATCCATAGTTATTATTTCGGGATACTCTGATGATGGCAGTTACAAAGCTTACTTTGAGGTGCTAGAGGAAGAAAAGAGGTGCCATGAGTGAAAGATATTAATAGTGTTGTGGAGCCATGGAGAACAACTCTTTCCACTCATCCTGCATGTGTGATATATATCACTTCCCAAGAATAACAGGCTATTTTTATTCAGGACAAATTGCGGCTCATTGTTACTAGGTCAGCCACCACCCTCTTGTCTTTCAGATTTGCTTTTTTTCCAACTTAAACACTCTGTATAGGTAGAT